CAATCAATTCTTCAACTTTTTTAGTGACACAGAGCGAAGATTACACTGTCCTCCGTCAGCGTCAGATGCTGCATTCAGTCACATTCAGTTTTTACAGGAAATATGTAAACTTGATATATTAAATGAACGCTTGCAGTGATTAAAGCTTTAATAAATAGTTTTAAGGTTATGGCAGCACTTGCGTTAAGGTTTGGGGACGATCCTGGTCTGGGTTCATTCAGAAGAACTCTACAGTGACACGTGATTACTGACATTTAACCACAACCACTTCCTAACCTTCACCAACCACAGACAGGAGTTTGTACTTCCTTATGTACTTAAATGTATTGCTTCATTCACTTAGAAAAACCTCTAGTCCGAGCAGTGATTTGAAAAAAGAAATCACATGTGAGGGGTGTTTGAGGTAAAACTTCAATAAACTTACCGGAAGCAGGCAGTTTAACAGGGTTCAGGTTGGGTTGATCCCATTTGAGACGGCTGCAGTTTACTAGAAAACACAAAATAAATGGATGGTTGTTAATTTTTCTGTCATGTTGTTTTAATTAAAGGTTGCATATGTATTTGTAATTATTGTTATGTATTAATCACGGGTTGTAAGGTAGCTTTGTTCCTCTGCTGCCTGTGGGACTAACAATTTCTAAATGTGTTTTTCCTAATGTTTAGGGATGAGGGTCAGTTGTGGGGACCTTTTCAATTTCCAGTGGCCTTCTCTCTCTGCTTCCCTACAGTGCCAACAGTGGGCAATGCTAAGTCCAAAGTCATTTACAAAATGGGGGCTTTAGTTTGCTAAAACAAAAGTAGGATTTAGTTTGTAAGTAAGTCTTCTTTGCCCAAATTACACTCTTAATCTTAAACCTTAATCTAAAATGTGTTTTATGACCAGTATGTAAAATCTTAATATGTAAACTAACTATATAGTAATGAAGTAAAAGCAGAAGTTATTTTAATTGAATTGAATTTAGTATTTGGAAAATTGGTTCTGCTGAAGCACAGAAAGAGGTTGAACATTTAGCTCTAATTACAGTAATGACACAGTAACTTATTGTTTCCAACTCTCTTTATAAGCTCCCACATTATGAGTCTTATGTGTTCACATAATAGAAACATTAAGGTTGTTCTTATATTGCAGCACTCACCTCTGCATTCGGCTTCCTCGAATAACTAAAGAAAGAGAAGAATGATTTTAATGCCAGAGCTTTCCAAAGAAATTCAGGTGAAAACAACTACAGTGGAAGATTGGTGTGAAAGTGAAACACTCAGTAATAAATCACTTTCTCAGTATTTCCTGTTGAAATTAAGACACAATGTTAAGATTCAGGAAGTGCTGACTGCGTCTCAGGTTTGAGTGGGAGGAACAAATAAAGTGGTGAGAATTTTATTTACTTTATTGGTCGACCAGAGAGGAGAGCATTACGCCTGCATATAGAAGCTATTTCATGCACATTCATCAGGTTGTTTACACTCTGGACTGTTCGTCTGACTGGTTAGACAGAAATCTGGGGAATCCCCTTCACGTTCCTGATATCATTATTTAATACTTCCAGGCTCTCCGCACTGAATCTATACATGAAGCTGTTCCTCACCCCCAAACAGTCCCGTGCAAAGCGCATGTAGTCCTGGCAGTGTTTCAGGGTGATGGACACGTTGGTCACCTTCACGACCTGGTCTGGAAGAATAGTGGAGTCGTGGGCGAGCGAGATTTTCTGGAAAACAAAAACAGATCGATGCATATATTTATTATTTATTATCAGTTTTTGAACAGAACTTCAGTGGTCAGGTGGGGTTTTTCCATATTTCAACACATTGTCTTGAGAAAGATAATTGGAGTTGTGGGTAGTTTCCAGCTCCACTCGACAGAGGCAAAGAGAGATTGCTCAATCTGAATGTTTTACACACCAGGAGCTGACAGATGAAACATATTTATGTGTCACATGGCAACAACTCACAACAACTTACTGACGTCCAAAAATCAAAAACAAAAATCAAAACAGTCATTTTGTTCCCTTTATAAGAATCTGAGGCATTAAACATATTATTTTTATGTATTAATCACTTTTTATTGCGAATGAGTAAACAGGTTGTAACGTAACTTAAAACATTTATTAATTAATAAAATAATTCTTCAAGCTAAATTAGCAGTCAGGTAACAGCAGCTACATTAGCAGTTAGCTAATAAGTAACATTTAAAGAATGAATAACATTAATCATTAAGCTAACTAATGGATCTTCACTCTGTGTCGCTGAAAGATTGATTGGCGGGTGAAGTGTGACGATATTATTGGTTGAAATCAGTTCATGCTGACTAAGATGAAATTGTTTGTGTACTTTTTGTCATACATTGTGAAATAGGGGAACAATATAACTGAGATATGATAATCTTTCACTTCACCTGGATCCTCAGTAATAAACCCAGCTGTGGTGGAGTGTGCAGGACTTACGTTCTTGTCCTCCCAGAGGGTGCTGCAGGTGGATAAACTGGGTTGGGACAGCTGATACTGGACCGAACCATTGGTCTGCGCGGTGACGTTGCAGGTTAGTGTGGACTGAGACTCAGCTGCAGCTTCAGGAAACATCAGCTGAAAACCTGAAAATGAACCACATCACAAGTTACTCACAAAATGACCTCTCTATAGTCAGTGTTTGTCCATTCTGGGCTACTGTAGAAACATGGTGTGAGTTGTTGTATTAATGTTTAAAATCTCACATGATTTCTTTATTGTTTTATTACATTTATTACAGTTACATTATAGCCAGCTGTAATAATCCTAATTATTGCTTTAGTCATCAGTTTTGACTTCACCTCGTATAATGATTGTGACACTTTCCTATTGGGAAAGCTATAAAATTACTTTCTACAGTTGTGTTAGAGTAGGACACAACATTTTTAATATGTCTCTTTATGGAAATATGAAAACAAACTTGCATTAATTCCTTTTTATTTAAGCAGAATTTAGAGGAAACTGGTCCAGTTTTAAGACCGCGGCGGCTCTGTGAACGCTCAGATATAAACCGCAGTCTGAGTTTATCTCTCAACAACTGAAGCCTATCTCAGTATTGAGTAAAACTCTAATCTCCGCCACACTCGGCCTGTTATAAATAAACCCTGCCCAGTTTATAGCTCCTGTGCATTCACTGTACGTGCCGGTATCTGCCTAACAACCAGTGTTTATGTTTGATCATGAAAAGCTCTTAATCACTATTAAATTGAACTGCAGCGATAAGCAGCTAATGTGTCACTCCCTCAGTCTGTGTTATCACAGCCTCTCTGTGGTTTGCGGTTCATCACGTTTGTCGCTGAATTACAGAAGTTAAGATGATCTGAAGGTAAAATGAGTGTTTTTTGTTTCCTGGAAGTCTGGTGGACGAGCTTGAATATGGGATTATTACGCCTGTTTTGTGGTTAAATTCAAAGGTCTTTTTATCTCTGTAGGCGATTCCTTTTCATAAATGCTGTCAAGAACACCTTGACGAATAAACAACCTGAGTCTGTCCAGTTGGGAAACAACTTACCTCTGTTCTTTTTAAGTGGGGAAACAACAACTCACTTGTAGTTTGAAACCAACAACAAAAAAACTTGTTAGTTTGGGGAACAAACAAACAACTACTGTTTTAGTTGGAAAAACAAACCAACTTACTGTTGTTTGGGGAAACAAAACCAACAACAACGTGGTTTTTTAATGGAACAAACAACAAATACTGTTTTAGTTGGAAACAAACACAACTAACGGTTAGTGAAACAAAACAACAACAACCTGTTAGTGGAAACAAAACGAACAACTTACCTGTATAGTTGAAAACCCAAACAAAAAACAAACTGTTAGTGGAACAAACACAAACTACTTTGTTAGTGGGGAAACAACACCAACTTACTGTTAGTTGAAACCAAACACCAACAAACTGTTAAGGTTGGAAAACAACCACACTACTTTGTTTTTTAGTGAAAACAACAAACACTGTTTTAGTGAAAACAAACACAACCACTGTTTATGGACCATTTTTGAAACTTTTTTGCAGTTAAAGTTCTCATTTTCCTGCAAAGGTTGCCCATCGAGTCAAAGAGGAAAAGGAATGTTGGGTTTAAAAGGTTAAGTCAAAAAAACCGCAGCATTCCCTTTTAAAGAGAAAGAGTTGGAAAACAAAAACCTGGCTTTCACTGCCCGCCTGGAAAAAACAAATCAACTGTCTTGTCTTATTTCAGTTTCTGGGTCTCTTCTGAACGAAGAAAAGTTTCTTTGGGGGGTCTTTTTATGTGTCCCTGCTTGTCTAGAATAGTTATTATAAACCCATTTTAGTAAAACCGCCACATTGTTTTTTTAATTAGGAAAGACGTTTACAACAACATGCCACAAAGGGCAAAGCTGCCCCTTGTAAGAAAACTGATAAAAATGGATCGCTGATCAGCCAGTGTCAGTAATCAATACTTAAAACTACTAAAAAGCTCCCTGCCACCAAACTCCCCTTTTAACAAAATTCACAACATTTTAAACAATTTCCCTAACGTGTTTGTTTAACGAACACGTAACTCCTAGAAAACACGAGCCTTAAAGCGTCCATATGTTCCGCACAGTTCCTTTGAACTTGTCATACAAGGATTTCAATATCATTCCATAAAGAATACAGGTGGGTATACTGAATCATAATCATCCATTAAAGATTACAGTGGTTTTTATACTGATCATTAATCCATAAAGGATACAGTGTATTACCTGAATCAATATCAGGGGTAAAAAATTCAATTTTAAGTGCAACAGGTGGTTGGATTGGGTTGTTTTTTTTCCTGAAAGATTGAAAAAGGAATGAAAATGACATCACTCAAGAGAATTACCTTTTCCAGAGGGTGTGTCGAAATGAAAAAAAGAAAAGCCTCAAAAAGTCTTCTGTTCCTGCCTTGTCCCGTCTTGTTCCTTCTTTTGCCTGTCCTTTTGTTTGTCTTGTCTTGTCTGTTCTGCCTTTGGCCTGCTGTCCTTGGTCTGGTTCTGCCCGTTCCCTGGTTCTTGTTGTTATGCCCCTGTTCCTTGCCCTGGACTGTCCCCCTGTTTCTGTCCTTGTCCTTGCTGCCTGCTGCTTGTTCCTGTGTCCTGTCTTTCCTTGTCTTGTAATGCCGTTCTTGTCTGTTCTGTCCTTTGCCCTGCCTGCCTGTTCTGCCTGGCCTGCCCCCTGTTCTGCCTGCCCTTGCCTTGCCTGCCTGCCTGCCCTGCCTGCCCTTGGTTGTTCTGTTCCTGTCCGTCTTTGTCTTGTCCTGCCCTGCCTTGCCCCTGCTGTTCCTTGCCTGCTGCCTTGCTGTCCTGTTCTGTCCTGTCGTCCTGCCGTTCTGCCCCTGCCCTGTCGCCGCTGCCTGCCTGCTGCCCTGCCTGGTCCTGTCTGTCCTTCTTGGCCTGTTCCCATGTCTGTTAAAAACTTTGGTTTTGGTTTTTTGGTGTAATAAAGTAATGAATGAAGTGATGTCCACCGCTCAACCGCATGTTAAGATTTGTGATCCACCCCGTTTTTGTTTTCGGTGAGAGTAATGGAATGTATTTGCATACAAAACCAACTGACAACCAACCAAAACTGAACACACCAGGACACACTGACAACAACACACCCACAGCACTGAAAACAACACAAACCACAACTGACCACACACACACACAACCTGAACCCACACACACACACCTGACACACACAACAAACTGACACCAAACACACACACTGACACACAACAAGAACTGAAAAACAAACACACACAACAACACTGACACAACACCCACAACACTGACAACATTTCGCGCTCTTCAACTTTTAAACTAAACTATAAACCTTCACATAAAAACTTGTTGCTTTAGAAAAGTAAACATATTTGGCTCCTAAAACAAGGTTGTTTTATTTATGAGATAATTGAGAATAACCTACTCCATCTTCAGTGAGCTCCAGTTTAACTATTTATTACATTTTTAAATTAATAATGAAACCATCTTTCTGCTTTTGTCTTTTTCATTGATTTTAGCTAGCACGCATATTGCCATAATTATAATTCTGTACCAAAAGAACTATAGTGGAAAAACACACAAAATCAAACCGAGACACACCTTGAAGCCAGGCAAGCTTTTTTTTTACAATAATAACAGAACAGAATGAACATTTTGTTAAGACTCTTTTCGCTCCCAATCCTGAAGCATCGATTTATTTCACAGGAAAAACAAATCAAAAGAAATGACTTTTAATATTGGGATCCAAGACCCCCCTGACTTTGTTTTGTTGAAACTTTCATTGTTATCCTTTTGTGGTTTATTTCAGTCGGCAGTGAAAAATTTAAAAACACGTGATAAGAAGCTTGTGTTTTAGAAGACTGCCCTGGTCCGTATGGTGATATAAATGGTTTAATCCACGCAAGGTTGTAAACCCAAAGGGTATCTTGAATATGTTTTTTTGTTCCTGTTTCAGTTTTTCATTTTACCTCTCGCTGAAACCGTCCAGGAAAAAGAATTGTTCGTTTACCTCCAGTCAGTCACATCTGTTATCACACACCACCACACAACACACACACACCAACCCAACACCAACACACACACACGTTCTGTCTTTCCAGGGGCCTTTTCAACCGAGACTCCGTTTTAAAGCTAGAGTGAAGACGATGGTACCATATGAAAAAGAACTAAAGACCCTTGAGGCATCCCGTTGGGTACCCAACAAAACCGTCAAATGTTTAGCTTTTTCGCCTAAATATGCTCCAAAATTTAGTCTTAAAATGAACCGTCTTGACCTCAAAGAAATTTCTGAATGAAACGGGCTAATTCCTGGCAACACGGGGCGCAAATAAAGAAGTTTGTTATTTATAAATTTATATATGAAATGGAAAAGTTTTTTTGTGGAAAGTCAGTTTTTGAACAGCTTCAACAGACCACAAGTGTGTGGTGTTTGTGTTGGGTGGTGCGTGCACCCCCAGTCAAAACAGGACACAACCTTTTGAACTTCTTTGAAATAAGCCACCAGTTTCTTTTTGTGGTTCCTCAGCTTTTTCCCCCTTTCTGCCTTTTCTTAAAGTTTTGTTGTCTTTTCAGCCCTTCCTGTCCTGATCAAAGGTTTTTTTTTTGGAAAGCCCCACAACCAGCTGCCACCTCCCGGACTGTTTCCTGGGAATATTCAGCCAATTTACAGGAAATTCCCATCGAGCTTAAGTAAGTTTTCATGCCAACGTTTTTACCCTAAAATTCAACCTCTTTTCAATTATATTAAGGAAATTAAAAGTTCTTTGCCATAATGGAAACAGTTTGATTACAGGTTGTTTGTGTTTTTTTTTTGTTGGTGGTGTTGGGTTTGTGTGTGGGTGTGGTCAGGTAGAAAGGATGCCTGGCAGGCTGTGTTTCAATGTTTGCTTTGCGAAGGCACAATGCCCACAATAAATTTATTAAATAAAGTTGTATTGGTCCGGGGTTTTTGTGGTTTTTTTGCAGCTCCAGGGACCAGTTGAAGGGGTTTGGGAAACCCCCAGCAGCCCCATTCCTAACTACGGCAGTTAAAATACCAGGTAGAAGAATACACCACACACACACACACACCCACAAACACAACAATCTATACATCTTAATAATGATAATCATACTGAACTACACCAATCTTAATAGGAAAACAAAGAAACCTCCCTCTCCATACTGGACTTCCACTTTTTTTTCACACTGCAGTGAATCTGAAATATCACAAACTTCTAAACCAGATTAACCATCAAAAGCTAAAACCATCCCGATCGCTGAATTTGAAATTGATCGACCATTAATAATATAATAATATAATATTGAATCTGATTAATTAATATCCCCAAAGATCAATATTTATCTTTTCTTTAACAAGTCGGATGTAACAAAGAGAAGTTTTGCCCTGGAAAGTCCCTCAGCCAGCCTTCCCTTCTTGGTTTTCAGACACTTCGAAGGAAATTATCAAAAAGGCAAGACACACGCTTTGATTATTTGAAATCCTTGTTTTTTGTATTTGTTTTTTTGTTTGCTTAGTTTGTTTTTACATTTATTACTTATCGATTGGATTTGGCCTATAGTGGCGAGCCTTGTTTCGATCCGGAATTCGAGCAGTTTTCAAGCCCCGGCAGTTTGAAATTCTGAAGTGTTGAAAAGAAGTGATTGGCGGTCTTTTAAAGTTTCAATGAACTCACGAGGAAGACGAAAGAATTCCACTGCACGCTTCCCCATATATTTTTTAAAAATCCTTTATATAAATATATATATTTCGTATAAAGACTGTTGAATACAGCCCTGGACCCGTGAGTTTTAAATAGTTCGCTTTGCTGCTTTGAACCGCTTTCTTCTCTTCACCGACTCTGGTTTGAATGAGGAACAGGAAAGCTTCCGCAAGTGTAACAGCGAGGAAGGAGGGTCCCGATGTCCAGTCCCACCTTAACGTCACTGTTGTGTGGTTGGGTTGTGGGTGTTGATGTGTTGGTTTTGGTGTTTGGAGAAAAAGAGAGAGAAAAGAGAGAGAAGAAGAAGAGGAAGAAGGAGGAGAGAGAGAGAGAGGGAGAGAACTGAGTTGAGGTAATAATATCACAAATTTTAAATTTAATGGATT